CTATTGAATAGGAAGGGAGATGCCATACTGGGTTCGAACCCCCAACCTTGTTAATGTGAAACCTCAGTCATACCCATTGCGCTACCATGGCAGTTTTACGAAGCCAGTCAAAAAACTTCATAATATAGTAAGGCATAAAAATGTCACAAAATGTCATAGTATAGTAAGGTATAAAAATGTCAATAAATGCCATAGTATATTAAGGCATAAAAATGTCAAAAAATGTCATAGTATAGTAAGGCATAAAGTTGTCACAGTATAGTAAGGCATAAAAATATTAAAAAAAAAACGTCATGGTATAGTAAGGCATAAAATTGTAAAAAAAATGTCACAGTATAGTAAGGCATAAAAACGGCATGGTATAGTAAAACATAAAAATATAAAAAAAACGTCATAGTAAAGTAAGGCACAAAATTGTCATGGTATAATGAGGCATAAAAATGTAAAAACACGTCATAGTATCATAAGGCATAAAAACGTCATAGTATGGTAAAGCATAAAAATATCAAAAAACGTCATAGTATAGTAAGACATAAAAATATCAAAAAATGTCATAGTATATTAAGGCATAAAAATGTCAAAAAATGTCATAGTATAGTAAGGCATAAAGTTGTCATAGTATAGTAAGGCATAAAAATGTCAAAAAATGCCATAGTATATTAAGGCATAAAAATGTCAAAAAATGTCATAGTATAGTAAGGCATAAAGTTGTCATGGTATAATGAGGCACAAAAATATCAAAAAACGTCATAGTATAGTGAGACATTGAAATATCAAAAAACGTCATCCTATATTAAGGCATAAAAATGTCAAAAAACGTTACAGTAAGACAAAGGTATCAAAAAACATCATAGAATAGTAAGGCATAAAAATGTCAAAAAATGTCATAGTATAGTAAGGCATAAAATTGTCATGGTATAATAAGGAATAAAAATATAAAAAAAAAAACGTCATGGTATAGTAAGGCATAAAATTGTAAAAAAAATGTCACAGTATAGTAAGGCATAAAAACGGCATGGTATAGCAAAACATAAAAATATAAAAAAAACGTCATAGTAAAGTAAGGCACAAAATTGTCATGGTATAATGAGGCATAAAAATGTAAAAACACGTCATAGTATCATAAGGCATAAAAACGTCATAGTATGGTAAAGCATAAAAATATCAAAAAACGTCATAGTATAGTAAGACATAAAAATATCAAAAAATGTCATAGTATATTAAGGCATAAAAATGTCAAAAAATGTCATAGTATAGTAAGGCATAAAGTTGTCATGGTATAATGAGGCACAAAAATATCAAAAAACGTCATAGTATAGTAAGGCATAAAAATGTCAAAAAATGCCATAGTATATTAAGGCATAAAAATGTCAAAAAATGTCATAGTATAGTAAGGCATAAAGTTGTCATGGTATAATGAGGCACAAAAATATCAAAAAACGTCATAGTATAGTGAGACATTGAAATATCAAAAAACGTCATCCTATATTAAGGCATAAAAATGTCAAAAAACGTTACAGTAAGACAAAGGTATCAAAAAACATCATAGAATAGTAAGGCATAAAAATGTCAAAAAATGTCATAGTATAGTAAGGCATAAAATTGTCATGGTATAATAAGGAATAAAAATGTAAAAAAATATCATACTATAGTAATGCATAAAAATGTCAAAAAACATCATAGTATAGTAAGGCATAAAATTGTCAAAAAATGTCATAGTATAGTAAGGCATAAATATGTTTTAAAGCATCTAAATTTTGTAAGGTACATAACAAACTGTTGTATAGGAAAAGCAGGTGCAACACTGGGTTCAAACCCACAACCTTGTCAATGGGAAACCTCATTCATACCCATTGCACCACCATGGCAGCTCTTTGACATATGTCAAAAAACATTATAGTATTGTAAGACATTAAAATATAAAAAAACGTCATAGTAAAGTAAGGAACAAAATTGTCATGGTATAATGAGGCATAAAAATGTAAAAACACATCATAGTATCATAAGGAATAAAAACGTCGTAGTATGGTAAAGCATAAAAATATCAAAAAATGTCATAGTATAGTAAGGCATAAAAACGTCATAGTATAGTAAGGCATAAAAACGTCATAGTATAGTAAGGCATAAAAACGTCATAGTATAGTAAGGCATAAAAACGTCATAGTATAGTAAGGCATAAAAACGTCATAGTATAGTAAGGCATAAAAATATCAAAAAATGTCATAGTATATTTAGGCATAAAAATGTCGAAAAATGTCATAATATAGTAAGGCATATAATTGTCATAGTATAATAAGGAATAAAAATGTCAAAAAGGTCATAGTATAGTATGGCATAAAAATATCAATGTCATAGTATAGTAAGGCATAAAAATATCAAAAAACATCATAGTATAGTATGGCATAAATACGTCTTGAAGCATCTAAATTTTTAGGATACATAACAAACTATTGTACAGGAAGGGAGGTGCCATACTGGGTTCAAACCCACGACCTCGTCAATGTGAACCGTCATTCATACCCACTGCACTACCATAGCTGGTCTTCATTGTACGTCAAAAAACTTCATAGTATAGTTATATAATAGTATAATATGGCATGAAAACGTCAAACAACGTCATAGTATAGTAAGGCATAAATATGTCTTAAAGCATCTAAATTTTGTAGGGTACATAACAAACAATTGTATAGGTAGGTAGGTGCAATACTGGGTTCAAACCCACGACCTTGTCAATTTGAAACCTCAGTCATACCCATTGCACCACCATGGAAACTCTTTGAAAGATGTCAAAAAACGTGATAGTATTGTAAGGCATGAAAATGTCACAGTATAGTAAGACATAAAAATGTCCAAAAACGTCATAGTATAGTAAGGCATAAAAATGTCCAAAAACGTCATAGTATAGTAAGGCATGAAAATGTCAAAAAACGTCATAGTATAGTAAGGCATGAAAATGTCAAAAAACGTCATAGTTTAGTAAGGCATGAAAATGTCCAAAAACGTCATAGTTTAGTAAGGCATGAAAATGTCAAAAAACGTCATAGTATAGTAAGGCATGAAAATGTCAAAAAACGTCATAGTATAGTAAGGCATGAAAATGTCCAAAAACGTCATAGTATAGTAAGGCATGAAAATGTCAAAAAACGTCATAGTTTAGTAAGGCATGAAAATGTCCAAAAACGTCATAGTTTAGTAAGGCATGAAAATGTCAAAAAACGTCATAGTATAGTAAGACATGAAAATGTCAAAAAACGTCATAGTTTAGTAAGGTATAAAAATGTCCAAAAACGTGATAGTATAATAAGACATGAAAATGTCAAAAAACGTCATAGTATAATAAGGTATAAAAATGTCAATAAATGTCAAAGTATAGTAAGGCATAAAAATATCAAAAAACATCATAGTATATTAAGGCATAAAATTTTTTTTAAAAAAAGTCATAGTATATTAAGGCATAAAATTGTCATAGTGTAGTAAGGCATAAAAATATTTTAAAAATGTCATAGTATAGTAAGGCATAAATATGTCTTAAAGCATCTAAATTTTGTAAGGTACATAACGAACTATTGTACAGGAAGGCAGGTGCAATACAGGGTTCGAACCAATGACCTTGACAATGTAAAACCTCAAACCCAGAATCTTCTCACTGTGAGGCAACAGTTATTCTCTTTTCAGAACCATAAATGGTTGGTTTAGTTCTCTCATACGAGCTAAGAGAAGAAAAAAACATGTCTTTAAATTTCTACACCACAGCTTCAGGTCAAAGACGGTGGTCTGTATCAGCCTGATGTCAGAAAATACCAACGGCATGCTCACCTGTGTTTCATAGCTTAATGGATATATGTGGATCCCAATGATATATGGTCTGACACTGAGGCTCAAAATACCCTTTAAAAATGTAATTCCTCAGAAATCTAAGTCAGGTGTGGAGCTTCTGTGTGGTGTGGTAAAGACTGTAAAAGCACAAAAAGCAGTTAGACATATTGAGGGCAGATCCATCTCAATCAAAAAAATAACAGAGATGTGGGAGAACGCCTGGATATACAGGAAGTGTCTGCAACAGAACCAGGGCCATGAATTAGACATTGCTTCAGTTGTGGCCAGAGGATTGGTATGTCCAATCTGGTTTTGTGTAAGCACAAATTTATGCATCAGTATTTGTAACAAGTCTTTTGTCTGTCTTTTTTGGTTGCTTGCGACTAACTGCTTTTGAAATGATACCCATAATGGTTTTTGAGAGAAACATCCAGTCACAAAGCTTAAAATTCTTAAATTTGCTGGAAAAATCCATCTGTATCTGTTAACTTGTGGCTGGATAAGATAAGGATCTGACTTTGTGGCTCTGACAGGAGTCCTCTCTATAGTACAGTGGGATCCCCAGAGCTGTGAGCTTAACACTTGCCAACTGAACATCTTTAAATGTCTGGACTTTGAGGCACTAGCTACATTGATTTCTGCAGCTGTTTTCAAAGGGAGGCTCTTGGGTGAAAAGAATTTATGTTGTTTCTGGCTATGCGTAGCTTAGCTGTTTCAACTTCCAGTCTTCCAACATTTCACCAGAAGTTTCGTCTTCAGTGCAGATCAGAGGCTACAGTGAGTAGCTATCGAAAAGTGACAAGACGAGACGGGCTGGGGCTAGCTGGTTAGCATGCTAACTTCAAAAGAAAAAAAGACGTGATAGAGACGAGAGTTAACATTGACGTTGCTTTCCACAGCTGGAGACAGCTACTTGCTGAGTAAAGGAATGAACGCACAACGTTTCTTCTAGACTGGTAAATTAACAGCTGTTAATGCTAACGCTAGCTATGAAACAATACCAAAACTTAGTTATACGACCTGACATGGCTGACATAAGAAACAGAGGGAATACATCTGAAATATTATAAATCGTTGGAAAAAAGTGTAAATTATACTCCAAGTATAATTAACACTTCTGTTTTTGATGTGCTGTGAGAAATAATGTTGTGTCACTGTGATTATCATTATGGACTGAGACTTACTGGAAGAGATGTAGGTGACCCAGAGGGTGAGTGCATGCGGGACAATGGGGTGAAGGAATCTCAGAGTCAGGGTGCAGCCCTCCGTGTCGGGGCAAGGTGATGTCACATTAGTGTCGTAAAGGCTGAGCTCAGGACTCCACGCCTGGAGACTGGGATCACAGGGCTGCTCCACGTCAGGTGGGCCTGGCGTTAGGTGACATCACAGACAGATGCATGTTTGATTTAATGCATTGCAATGAGGGCTCCCAATGACCACATTCATTCCATAAACCTCAGGCACGGGACACAAATAATTACTACCATCAATCATAAACACTCATAATACTGATTCAGCCATAACGACGATAATGAACTGTGGTGACCTGCCAGAAGCTTTTACAAAACAGAGAAGAAAACCAGTTCAGTTAACTGCCTCGTTTAACGACTACTGTTGTTATGTTCAGCAAAGCCTTTAAATCCTAATCCGTCCAATGGGTGTACTATTTATCCAGCAGTAAAGGACTGCAGTTGGACTGTCCAACTAAACTAGTCCAACTATTTGCAGTGTAGAATAACGCCTTTGGGCTCTGTCTACTTGTGGAGTGCAGATGCAAATGCAAGAAAAAAAATTGGCAATTTTGGAGACCATAGGCACAAACTAGGTGCAACATGGAAGGCAGCCTGTATACACTATTCGTAGTTGGAATACAGTATCAGCAGGTGGAGTAGGGATGAGATTTAATAAGGTCCAAATGATGGTCATGAGCTCCTCTCATCCCCTTTAAAAGATTTATTTGGCTGAATCCAAACACAGTCTCTGTCTACATTGACGGCTGGACTTTAAGACATGAGTGAAAACCTGTGTTACTGGCAAACAGGACAGCGCTGAAAAAAAAGGGCATGAATCACTTTCAAGCTTCAGGAAAAGAACTTTCCCTGTAAAGAATCTCCTTTGCCCATTAACACATACATACACACACACACACACACACACACACACACACACACACACACACACACACACACACACACACACACATAAAGCAGGGTCCAAAAGTCTTGGAAAGTAGTCTCAGACCACTTTCCAAGTGGACCACTGGGCTATTGGCTTGGTCTGAAGCACCGTCTGTCATTTGCACCTTGTGTGTTTGTACATGTTTTTTTCCACATGTGGGAATTTGTGCAAGGTAAACAGAGGCAGGCTGCTAAACTGAGCAGGTGAGAGGTAGAAGCTGTGTGAGGCAGTCCATCAGTAAAGTTTGTGTCAGATGTGGACAAATCTGTGAGTACATTTGTCAAAATATTTATCACGTATCACATGACTGGTTTTACTCTGACCTATTGAAGGCTATTAAAAGTTACTTTTGAGACCAGCTTCGTTACCGTAAACAATTACAATCCAACGCTCGGCCCTTTGCTGCATGTCATCCCTTCTCTCTCTCACCCCCAGCTTTCCTGCCTCTCTCTCACCGCTACTCTAATAAAGGTTTAAAAAATAAAGGGTAAAAAACTGACATATATATCTCTGCACTGGCCAACACTTATCAATCTTTGAATGTAAAGGGAGACGCGACTGTCTTTCGATCAAACCACACCCACACAGTCCTGATGAAGCCGATCAGCTGGGTTTTTGTCTTAATAAATTGTATCTTGGGGTGTTTTTTTTGCCGCATGTCTATACTTCTATTTAGTAGCGACTGACAAATAAACGAACAAAATTCCTAGTATTACTTTTAACAACTACCAGCAAACTCATTCTCATTCGTAAAACAGCGAGCAGAATGTTCCAGTTGAGAAAGTTACGAGTCGTGGGCCCTTACTTAAAGCATGGCCCACGTTCAAAAACAGTTTTAACACCATTACACCAGGCAAAATTAGTTGTTAATTGTTACAGTGTTAGTGATTAGCGCAACGGAATCACATTAAGAGAGTGTTTTTATCAGCTGTGTCCCAGGTGAGAGTCAAATAAAATCAGTACGTTGACGAGGTGTTACATATTTCACACCCACTGCGATCGGCCGTGTGGGGAGGATCACCAAACTGTAACAAAGACAAAGAAGACCAGGCGAGAGTGGTCTCTAAATAAATGAACCAGATCTATAAACTCTAGCCATTTTATTTAAGCTTCCTATATTTTCACATTTAAATATTAGATCTTAGAACGTCACATTTTTTGGTGCAGTCAACTCACCAACTGTCCATGGGGGTGGGGGGGGGGTTCTTGTTGTGCTGCCCTCACATGGCTAAAAATTTATTCATGTAACTTTAAAATTTCCAGTGGAGTCTTTGCTTTGCTTTATCCTAAGAAACCACAGAGTATTTTGTTACTTTCTGTTGCATTTTAATGCTTTTATGAAAAAAAGGTGCTGAATAATAGTTATAGATAGATAGATAATAGATAGATTCATACTTCTGCTGCAGCCATATCTCATTTCCTGCACAGGTATTATAGATTTCCATCTTCATCCATCAATCAGCTTAGAAATATGATACTAGATTTTCATGCAGGTATGGACTTTGCTACCTTTCATCCCCTCCGTCTGCACTCTGCAAACTGCAGAACAATGAACAACACAATTTACCTTTAAAAGCCTTCTTCTTTAAATGTTCTAATTTTTAAATTATAACCCACATTACTGCTTGATACAGCACATAAACCAGTTTAATCCCTCTCAACAGGAGCGCAGACTCCTGTTTTCCCTCAGTCTGAAAACGGACTCAAACCAGTCAATGTTGGCACAAGCAATATTTTGAAGAGATGTACACGGACGACTTTGCCAACTATTCTAGCCAACAGTGTTTTGCCATTAAACTTATGTTTTGTGTTGCCAGCTATGATATCCACATTTAATTTGTCCAATTTCCCCTCTCCCGTTCCCCGCTGAAGGCGATATTGCCCATCTCCGCTGGCTGACAAAGTGACCCCGTGCATCAGTGTCTTCAGAAGTGGGAAAGAGTGAAAAGGGATCCAGGGAAGCCAGCAGACTGGCTGTCTCCTCAGCTATGTGCATACCACTGTTTAGAGTAAGACTGTAATTGACTCTTTATCATCATTATGATCCCGCAGCGAAAGAGAGGAAGCCGTAATCCCCCCTGTTCCTCCTCGCCGCTGGTTTTCAAAGCATAAATTCCAGCGGAGGATTTCCACATATTTGGGTAGAGTTTCCATTGAAGAAAAAGGAAAGTGTTGCTGTGTTTGTACATTCATTTGTTCTTTCTATGTGTATTTATCTTTCCGTCTTTTCTTCTCCTTGCTTTTATGTTTGCTTCCTTTTTCTTTTTCTTTTTTTTTTCTTTCTCTCCCCTCACTCAACATGTCATGTCAGAGGAAACTGGGCTTCTCCAGACATTTTGATTGGAATAACAAGGACCATACGCGTAAAGATGAAGTGTAATGTTTCAAAGTACAGTACAACAGGATACACTTTTTTTCTGGCATTTTTGTTTATGACCGAGGTTCAGTGTTTGAACAGCACCCAAACATTACCCAGAGTAGACACATTGCCTAATAATCCTTGTTCTCGCTTTGGCTCAACCAGGCAGAGACAGAAAGAGGTCTGTAGCTGAGGGCAATTATCATTTAATGATTTTCTGCTTTTTCCTCTTCCAGGAGCCATTAGCCTTGCACGCACCTGAAATTTACAGGGAAGAGACGTGTGTGTGTGTGTGTGTGTGAGGTTGTGTGAGAGTGTGTGTGTGTGTGTGTGTTTGTATTTGGAGGAGGAGGAGGGATGTGGGGGGATGTTGATCTGCTCTGTGGAAACAAGAGACAGAAGCAGAATTCAAGGACACAAACTCCAACCTGAAACCGCCACATTCCTGCCTTGTCAATAATTATTGACAGGCAGGAATGTATCAGGGGAAGAAAACAACAGAGTCAACTGTAGATTTTAGGGAGGAAAGATGAGTAAAAACAACAATTTGCCTCCTCACCACAGATTCTTGTTTATTTATGTGACTAAATTCCAATAGTGAAGATCTAACTAAAAGTGTTGATAATTTAGCTGCGGCTTTACGAGCATCTCCAACAGTGTCTCACATATTCACTTCAGTTTATATTCACACTGATGTGAAGAAGGCGGGGGGCACACAGTACGTATATGCACAAACACACACACAAACACACACACACACACACACGCACACACACACACACAAAGCAGTTTTTCGACTGACCAACTGCCTCCTCCGGTGTCCAGTAGCCTGATGTGTCACAGATGCGAGGAGAGGTGGCCTCGTGGGCGTACTGGTGGAAAACGCCGTCTTTCTCACAGTCTCCGCAGTTGACGGCAGACACGTGGAGTGAGGAGCTACGACAACAGGAAGCAGAAACAGAAGGGCAACATGTTTCTGGCAATGTTGTCACTCACTGCAACTGCAGTCATTTGTTAATCGTGAACTGCAGGAGTCTAATTGTTGCTTCAGATACATGTATCCCCGTCTTGCTCATGAGAGAACAACCATTAAAGCAGATATAGGAGCAAATAATCATCATCATCTTGGTCGATAGTTAATGAGGAGGCAGGTGCAGACAACAGATAAAACTCGGTTTGTATTCCTTGAACAGATAAATAACTAAGATCAAGGATCCAAGCAGTCCTACCTTTGATAAAGTGGTCCTCTCATGGGTGGCAGCCAGTAGATAGAGACAGAATCTGGGCTCTGGTCAGTTACGATGGGGGCCAGAGGGATGGGGGCGGGTTGACGGTCCATTAGCCACTTCTGGTAGACCAAGTCGAGATAACAGTGCATCCGAGCCACTTGGTTGGGAGTGAAATGGTTTGTGCAGTTGTCATCTGAAACGTGTTAATCATCACAGTTCAAGCACTAGTGTTCATCTAAATCAAGCGCTAATCACATGGTTAGAAATAAGGAGGTGAGACAGTAATGATCCGTACATCAGGCAACATTCAGGTCTGACGGTTCAAGAGTTATTTTGAATAGAAATGCAGCTACATTCAGATATGAAAATAAGCTATTCCCTAATTGTCCTGGTTGAAAGCATGACAACAGTATGTGGATACATTCATATCTGAGATAATTGAATTCAACACTGTTTTGTGGGCAAAACAATTTCCATTATTATATGATGATCATTCTTTTATGGTAAGTACATTATAATGCTGAGATGTTAGCTAATTGTTGCTAAAAGGAGCCGACTGTAGAAGTAAATGTAGACGTCACAAAACAAATACAAACAGTATTGCAAGTTATTTTTATATTTCAATGCGTTTTTTGTTTTGAATCCATTAAATTAAAGCAGTTTCAACAGCCTTCGTGTAAGAAATGTGCTTTAGAAACAAACCATTTGTCTGAACTAGTGGATAAGTTGCTTTGGATTTGTGTGTCAAGAGGTAAAATACTTATTAATACTTATTAATACTCACATACTATTATCACTATTCTAATAATCTGCAGTATACATTCTACAAGACCATGTAATTGGCTTCTTCTGTGCCCCAGTAATTATTTTTCAACATGATACGTCTGCTGTTAATGAGTTGAGAATGTTCATCCACTGCACCTGTGTAACTCATGTAGTTGCTATAAGGTGTGTCCTGGTACGTGGTGACTCCACAGGTATCGTTCACAGCTCCAGGGTCGCGGCAGGCTTTAGATTTGGGTGTCGGGGCGGTGTCGGCACATAGGTCTCCTGTCTCCATGGACGGGGTGGTCTCCTGAAAGGACATACAAATGAACACAGAAGAAGAGTGAAAAGCTCTATCCAGGTAAGCATGTCTACGTTTTACAGACGAACAGACGAAGAAGTACACAGACAACCCCCACTCATCTTTTGTATATATACTACATGTATATACTGGCCTGACAAAGACACTTATAAAAGTTACATTTGAGACGTTACGATTGATAAAGGAGAGCAATTAACAGCAGGTTCTACTTTTCTGTTCCGTAAATAAAGCTTCCTGTGAGGAAAAAAGATTTTAAATAGTCCTACCTGACATGGGTCATCGCAGGAGTCCCGCTCACTCACGCCTTTGAAGACATGATACAGGCCAAAGATGTGTCCCATCTCATGGATCATGGTGTTGTGGTGGCCCATTGTGCCAAAGTAGGCTGGGTTCAGCACCATCCCACCTGGCAGCAAGAAGAAACATTGATATGTTATTGTTACTGTGTTGTTCGGTTTGTTTTGTCAGTCTAACGTTACACAGTAAATATATACCTCGGAGCTGCAAAGTGAGATAAAGTGAGTGTTTGTAACATTAGGCGAAGGTAAACTTGCTCTTCCTTTCAATAACACTTAGTACAGTGTCTCCCTCTGTGGTTGTACCACTCTAACAGGGTGTAATGATTTGGAAAACTGTCCTTCAGCAGGTGAACCAGTTAACTGCCCTCACCCTATAAAAAAATAATAATAAATAAAAAAAATTACTTTTGTACATTTTGTACTATAAAAAAATACAACTTTAATTAGAAAATTAAAGACTGAATAAAAAGCAATTTTGAAATCAGCTCTGGTTTTTGGGCGATGGTGAATGCCAACAAAAAAATGGCCTTTTAGTGGCGATACAGGTTTTCTGCAGCACGCTGATAATCACAGAATCAGGAACAGACATGACAGTTATTGGTTTTCTAATTAGAACCAGTGCGTTCAGTGGCAAAGACATTGAATAATGAAGACATTAAATATCTAGACACTAAACAACAGGGCTTCCAGAGAAGACCTGTCATCCACTAACTTGTTTTTAAACAGGCACAGATGCTGAGGAACGGAAACAAATGTCATGTGGGAGACATTCACTAGTGAACTGAAATCAGCACTTTAATTTGAAAATATAAAATCTACTCGGACAATATAACTGGTAGCCTCAAAGTAAGACTCTGTGTTTACATAAATTAATAGCCCATAAATCCACAGAACAATGACATATTAAATTATATGATGATTAGTTATTTTTCATTCTGAAGAAACACAACTCAAGATGTAGTTTTTTGCCAAAATGGAACAATAGCTCTTCAGGACAAAAGCTCTGGCAGCCTTAGGCCAGGGTCCCTCCCTCTGCTGGACGCAACAAAACCAATGATGCCTCTGCCTGAGATGTCCAGTTCCTCCAGTGGTGGCGTGCGTAAATACATTAACATTACACAAACATAGTTTGGCAAAGAGCTGCCTCTCCTCTTTTCCATCAAAGCAGTCAGAAAACGCTAACGTTTCAAGGAGACATCTGCATAGAAAGTAACTTTAAAAACAGACACGGAGGTCAAAAGTAAGAGTGCAGCTGTTTAGCTTTGATTAAGCTGTGTAAGCATTTTCAAGTATTATTTCATGAATTTTTTATTATTTTTTTTTAAACTAAATGTCCTTGGCAAACGGCTGAAATTAATTTGCACTCGCTAATTTGGCATGTGTATTGTGGACATAAACCTTCACCTGGGTTTTGCTTATTAGGCTACAGCTAACAATTATTTTCATTGAATCAATCAGTAATGTATAAGTATTAAATTCCTTCTCATGAGAACTAAAGATAAGCAGAAAATACAGTTTAAAATTTACTTAAAATATGAATATGAATTACTTAACAACAAATCACACAGTTAGTTTTGTCACGAGGACATGTGAACTCTTTCAGCAAGATAAAAGATTCTTTAAAAGATAAATGCTTCCTCTGGAGGTACGTCTACCCCACGTGTCTCCTACTTTTGAGTCCACTCACTGCTTTGTACTGGCACAAGGAGAAGAGAAAAAAAGTGCATAGCCCACATAAATAAAGAACAGCTGTCAAGTGGGCATGGGTGGCAACAGTGGTGCAGAGCCCACACTGTCATTTGTTTGTTTGGCTGTTGTTGGGTTGATTAGTCTTCTCCAGTGAAAGGGGGAAGTAATGATTGGAAGAGGAAAGAGGCAATGTGCCGGGGAGAATCTCTGCCAGCTTCAAATGCTCTCCCCATCTCATTTGGATACCGCCAAAGCAGACAACAAAGGATGGAGGGCAAAGACAGAGGAGAACGGTTGGATGAAAAGAAAAAAAAAGAGACACAGGATAAAAAAACAGACAAGGAGGAAATTAAAAAGAGAAGAGTAAAAATTAGAAAATGTTACACAGACAGTAGAGACAGAAGCAACGAAGAGGTGTATGAGTAATATGCTGTAGCTTCATGTAAATCTGCTAACCTTGGTGGGTAAGAGCCTCCTTTGCCCATGGCCAGGTTGCAGCTCCTGCCAGCTCTTCACGCACTGAGTTGCTGGCAAAGAAAACATTGAGTGTGTCAGTGCCGCTCAGGTGTAGCTCCTCCTTTAGCTCTTTCACACTCATGTAGGCCCTGCAGAATTAGAAAGAGGAAAGAAAACTTTCAAACATCCGAATGCCCAACATTTATCGTTTTCAATTTAGGCTAAGTAGTTGTTTACAGTTGGGAAAGAACATGAATATAAAGCAAAAGATGAATGGCATCAGCATCCATTAAAGCAAACCGAGCTGAAAAGGTGAGTCCAAAAGCAACTAATAGCAGCTATAAACTTTGAATAACGTGCCAAGTACACACATTAAACCTACTCTTTTGAGCTGAATGAGATATTGTCTTTGTTTCCTTAACAAATGAAGATGGTGTGCTAGTTGGAAAGTGTTCTGAAAATAAACTTACATATATACACCTGATATCTTGAGAGAGAATATATATATATATATATATATATATATAAAGTAAAATGAGCTACATACATTCGTAACACACAGTGTAAGGTTATGCTACAATGTTTTAAATACATGTTGACTGTCTTACTAGAAGCTGCATGGTTCAGAGGATATTTAGCCTAGCTTAGCACTGGTCGCAGAGGAAACAACTAGCTTAGTCTTAAGATAGTTTAATCCAACAAAAAAAAGGTTGAGAGAGACAAATATGGTTTTAAACAGCTCTAAAATTGTCTTACTCACATGCATCTTGTTAACTCGGAAGCTAGTCACCAATGCTGCCATAAGTCACAGCTGTTGTTTTTTTCAGAGTTAGCTAACAAGGTGTGCAAAGCTAGCAAAGTCATAAAGAGACAGGAGTACTGTGTACGGTTTAAGCTGTTTGAGTTGTTTGATTTAAACCACATGTTTGTACTTTAAGCAAAATACAGATATAAAGTGCAATGTGTTAATATTACAGTTTTGGAGGTAGACTAGCATTGGGCTGGCTAACTAGCATTAGAAAGGAGAATGCATCTAGACTCTGTGCTAAGCTAGGCTAAAAACATCTTGGACCAATCTCTATTGTACGCAAAAAGATGAAATCATCTCCTCTAACCCAAGGCATGATGGCAAACAAGTGTGTTTTTCAAAATGGTAGCATATGCCTGTTAGCATGGAGACCGTTTCTGCTCAAGGTGCTATTATAAGTGGATTTAGGGACTTAGTGTGGGGCATCTTTAACAGTTTAACAGTTTGCTTCAATCCATCAACATCAGTTTCTTCCCTATAACGTCAGATCATAACTGTTTGAATTGGTCAGGGTACTTCAAACCACTGCCCCCTGTAGTTCACCACCCCCATTCCCCACCTCGTTCTCTCTCTGACTGTGATAAATTACCCTGGACGTACTTTGATGTGTGAAGCCGATTTTGTTTTTGCCTCGGCTGTGGTGATGTCACGTGTTATTGCTCTCCTTTGCTTTCATAGCTGGAAAGCTTTTGTACCTATCACCATTAGGGCCTACTGGTTCTGAGACCTTGCACTGGGGTCTCATCGACTGCCTGGTGCTCACACGCCAGACAGTTCAGGCTTTTAGCTGAGCCTCCCATGGTTTCTGGAACATCACAGCTGCTTAATGAAAAGAAAAAACTGGCTGTCAGTGCATGTACCTCCATGCATCTGCCCTATGGTAATAAATATCAACACTGCCAAGTCTTACAATGGTGCATTAGTGTACTGTTAGGTCAAATCCGTTAATATTTATAAAAATACATTTTGTTAAATGTTTGAATCATACATAATTTTGTTTGTGAAATCCGGCTTTCTTTCATCTTGCACAGGCAAAATATTGGATTTAAGTGTTTCTCGGTGATTATAACGTAATGGATTATTGTTTCATGTTGTATTTCTCAAGCAGGGAATTAAGGTTTTACGTGATTGATCAATTTCAGCTGTGGGACTAACTTTGTTAAAATTACTAAGCCATACTTTAATATTTACCTCAGATACTTCAAGTATATTTGGATGATTTGTTTTATGTCTGCTTCTTAAAAAAAGACGTTAAAGTTTATGCTTTTGATCAAGCTCAGCTGTAGGGCTAAATTTATTAATATTACTTAACCATGCTTCAATCTTAAAAGGACTGAAAGTGCTTGTTTGTTTCCATCAGAAATATAATTCATATAATTGCTCATTAAAAAACTCTTCAGGTTTGGCTCAGTGCAGCTTATATTGTTCCAATAGCTTGAGGGAAAGACAGGTGAGCTTGTGACTATAAGATCTCGGCTTTCAGCTGGGAAAAATATAGATGGATGAAATAAGAAAGAAGTAATCCCCATCCGCCCATACACTTCTGTCAATGTACCATTAAGTGAGGCACTTTACCTCTAAATTGGTCCAAAGGTGTTGCTCATCAGCCAAGAGCTCTGCATGTGTGTAATCCTCCCCCTAATGCAATCCCTCCCTGAGTGCATGTGCAGTACTGTAAATAAGAATGTGTTTTCTCAGGCACTTTGCCTGACTAAATAAGGTTTAAGATTTAAGATGCTTCAGGGAAACCCTCTGCGTTACTGAAGCTGAGTTCAGCCGAGGCTGCGTGCAGTATCCATCACCCCGGGCTGTGCAATTACAAATGACAGAATGTTGACCACTAAAGAGTTGACTCTTTAACTTCAGAGAACGCCTCAGTGGAAGTCGAAAGCCAACCTGGCAAAAAATAAATGGCTCTACATGATCGAAGTGAAAACCCTGGGTACGAGTTAACGAAATTACCATTTGTGGGCAAGTCAAACACTGCGTGAATCAACAGCAGAGTCAGCACTAGCGCTGTCACCATGTAAAAGTGTAGATGTGTGTCCATTCTAAATATTATTGTTGACAAGTCAGTTACTTTGAACCTTTAAGAAGCAGAAGACAGACTAAAAATGTCACACCAAAAGCAGACAAATATTTTGACATATTATATGTGCCTTGCCTTTGTTCAATGTTATTTGCTGACATAAAGTGAATACAAAGCATGTATAATCCAAACAGTTGCTCCTCGGGTTGTGATGAATACAGTGCTAGCAGAAGATACAAGCTCCCACAGATAATATGTTAAAAGTTACTTTTATTGCATGAGTGCAAAGCGCCTCATTGCAGCAGCACACAAGCACACACTGAGAACCAGCAGCTCCCAGCAGTCACGTTTACACTGTTTGCATTTGTTTGCATTCGTTTCAAATTTGGAGAGGCATGTGTCAGCCAGGTCAGCACATAGGCCGCAGTGGTCCATTCTCTATACCTCTCCCTTGAACAGCAATTGTCCAGTCATAATCTGGTAACTGTAAGTAAGTAATACAGGCCTGTCAAACTCCGACTTGCTCCATAAGTTGAAGGAGAATGCATGAGGGCTGTAGTAAGAGCAATACTCACTATCTACAGTTTGGAGGGAGGTCTTTTTTTTTCAACCTTTTGAAAACCAAAATCATGAGAGCAAAAATGTAATAATAAGACTCGTTGTGCAGGTAATTGACTAACAGAGGGTGAGGAAGTCTGTGTTCCTGTTTTTTGAAGTGAGCGAAATTCTAGTATTATTTTATTTATGTGTTAGCACTAATTAGCCGGTATCAGTGTCTGCGCTCGCCATACTTGGCTTGCTGGCTTAGCTCCATAACTAGCTAATTATCCAGCAAATGAATTAGCCTTGGGGTGGCCTTCGAGCAAGACTGCTGTTTATTTATTTCCATGAGGATGCTAACGTTTTTTCCTGAAGCATGTAGTGCCTCAGTCTTTTACCCCAATATTCTCAAGCGCATCTTTTAGACCCTTTTAGATTTTCATTTTAAAACAAGACAGTTGGTAACATTAAAGTCAGTTGGAGACATTATTTTCAACCAACCTACGCTAGCTTGATTAGTTAGCTAGCTACAGCTGATAAGATCTGCTATTAACAGATATCGTTTCAGTTAGCAAAATCAATGGTCGAACGGTCGAATCAAGAAACAGCTTTTGAGCGGTGTATCTGCAACCCTTGCTGTTGTAAACTGTGTATGTGGCGTGCGAGAACAGAAAGCTGAGATGAAGGCTGGCAACATCAACGAATCAGCTGTGAGGAAGGACTGAATCAACAATCTCGGTCTGATGTAGACCTGCATTCACCATTCGGGGGAACATTGCAGTACCTGTTTTTTATTAGTAAATAAAACACAATACAACTTGAGCTGGATAAAACTTAATCTAAAACAACAACATCATGCATGAGATACACATGCACGTAAAGCTTCAAACAAGTCTAGAACAGGATTGTTCTTTCAGGGGAGTTGCCTGGAGCTATTTCCACAGAAGTGCATCGTCCAGGATTTGCTAACCAAAAAATGTTAGCAAATCCTGGACATGTGTCTCAGCATAAGTGGACATGATGTCCCACACTACCCCATCACTCCCTATCCACCCTTGCCTCTCTCCCTCTGTCCGTCTTTCCCCTCCGCACTTCCTTTTCTTTATTGTGCTGCCAGAATCTGCAGTGTACCTGCCCATCGCTCTAGAACTGGCTCTTCACAACAGATTTTTGTCGTGACAGCAGCTGGCTTCAAAAAACCTCTGGCCCTGTACTGGCCAGCAGCAGCTGCACACGTATAGGGTCCCAAAATCAGAATACCTGGCCAAGAGCTTAGAGAGAATAGGGAGGGGGGATATCAAAAACCCAGATCCCAAACATAAAAATGGTTCAGTGCTCCACAAATGCCAGCAAAATGTCATCCTCAAATTAATTCTCTCTCTGCCTGAGAGAGTTGCAAGTCGGGGATCCAGGGACACGCACACATGAACACAAGCATGTCGAAGCACTCACACACATAAGCATTTTCAACAAGCTGGGGTCAGGACCTTTCCAGAGGACCTACACTACTGTTCGTCCGTCGGGCCCAGTTTTTACGACACTCTGGTCCCCTGTGTGTTGGCTGTTAATGTTGTTTTCAAATGAAGGGGCAGTAGCTTATAGACAGGAACTCTGGCAAGACTCACTGCAAGGGTTACATCACTGCGTAGGAGCACACACATACTGTGACTTTTAAGTTTAACTTTCAAAACCCAAACATCAGACGCCTTTATTTATGAAAGTCTCCTGCAAAAAAAAAAGAAACTTCTGCACAGGACCAGATCGAATCCAGAGCCGTGATTTATAAAACCACCAACAAATCAGGACATTACATCGATGTCTCCAACTCTTTGACATATATCAAACTAAATCGTATTCCAACACTTACCCAAAGGTAAGTGTTGGCGGATATATTTTCATTTGTTCTTTGAACTATTCTTTGCAATAACCATCGAATTAAATCACGCAGCATTTGATATATTTAAGAATAACAGCGTTTGTTGTTAAGTTTGTGCAAAACAACAGAACGGATTGCTGCTGTCCAACTTTTGTCATTAGTGTCCATCTCTTCACTGTAGAGTATATAGCGTAGGATGAGACAGGAAACATCTGACTCTAACAACTACCAAACCAAACCTTTTTCCTGTTTGTCTTCCCATGTCTATCCCACTAAGCTCATGACAGAACAACATAAATTAACCTTTACTCATGACACAGGTGAAGAAGCCCCTCCACGAGCCAAAACGATGAGACCACACACATGCAAGCCAGCATTTTATGTTTTTTTACCTTTACCTAATTTCAACCATGTTCTTTTCCAGCAGAAGCTTGTTTCACATTCACACAGCTGCACAAATTCAAACCTAGGAGCTCCACAACAACAGCCTCCTTCTGTTAGCCACTGGGAGCTGTCCAGTTAAACTCGTCCTCTTCTCACTGTACATGTTGCACGTTAAGTGCCTTCCTCAAGGGCACATCGTGTTTTGGGGTAAAAGGAAAGTGAAGACGCAACAACAACTCCAGGTTGCTCCTTTGTTTTCCGGGAACCGGAAATTTGGTAGCCTGGCGGTCGAAACCATGATTTGATAACCTTTAGGCGACTGCTGCCTAAAGTACAAAGGAAGCTAGGAATTAGAGGTGACTGGCGCCCCTCTTACACCTCCCTTTCCCTTTTTTTCTCAAGAGAGCGACCATGTGTTTGGGCGCTACCATACTACATAGTGGAAATAAAAGCTTGCTCTGGAAATGGTACGTCATTTTGAAGAATAGCTATGCTACCCAAATGCTCCTGGAAAACGTAGTTACCGTATTTCCTCAAATAGTGGCCGGGACCTTTAGTTACCTCATCTGCAGAAGGTAACAGGCCTTTATTTAAGGGATAGGCTTTTATTAGAGGCAGGTCTATATTGCTACTCCCCTACACTGCAAACAGGATAGCAATATTTTGTAAAATGAAGTTTAAGTGCATATGTATCTTGATGTAAAAAAAAAAAAAATCAGACGCATTTATGGTGTTGAGATCTACGAGTTTGTACAATTTGGTACAAATCCAGATAATAATCTGGATCTGGTGGAAGAAAAAATGCTGATTCCACATTACACACAGACTTGTACTTATTATTAAGTAACAGTGCATATGGCACAGCAGTGTTCAGGAATGCTTCCATCAGTATTTCATTCAACATGCAGCTAATAAAATTACTCAATAACAATAGTAGCTGTGACATAGAAATGAGACAATTCATAAAGCTGTAGAGCTGTATGAATTGTATAATGCTAATGTCATCGTTTCACAGATCAGGTAATAAAACCATAGCTGTCTCATGTACGGATTAAAGACAATAAATAATAATAATCATTATTATTATTATTATAATAGTAATAATAATGAAGGACTTAGTATTTCTCCATCACAATGTATTCCTATGAGTGGAGAAGGCTTTGAAACTTTTTCATACCGTTGTGGATTTCAACTCTATTTATTTAAGCCATTGCCAATCATAACACTTACAGAAATGTGTGGTGCAGTTTATTATCAAAATGTCTGTTAATTAAGATGCAGAGCTGCAGTACATCATTAATAATACACCCACTAAGTCATCCAGAGACATTAAGATGGAAATTTCAACTTAAGTTACAAGGTTGTGACTGAAGCGCAAGGAGTTGTAATAACAAATCTTGTATATTAGTAGAGATCCATTTGCCCAAGTATAAATGGAAAAAAAACATCAATCCTACTGTTTTAAAAAACATTAATACATCCTTGTGTTAAGCTGTCACAGCCTGTCAGCTCCAGACATCAAGTGTTAAATCTGTCACTTTAAAAAACAGCTCCAACTCCCATGTTCTGTTTTCCAGTGTAAAGCTTGTGGTTACAATTTGGATTAAAGATCGAGTCTTTAAGAAGCTGGGCCCGACGACCTCATGGCAAGACTTCATGCAAGCTATTTGGAACTCTGCGTGAGCCTGTCTGTCAGACTAAATGGAAGGCAGCGGGCTGCCGCTTGAGTTGTTTAGTAAAAATAAGTGTGTACTTTGGCCTGTTAACCCACCATCCCGACTTCACAGAGCTCTCCCTAAAACCGCTGGGGAAAGTGAGAGTACCAATTTGTACATGTAGCATGTTGAGCTGTTCACTGCACAGCCCTGCTGAAGCACTGCAGCGTGCTACGACAGATTTTGTGGCCATTTATGCCGCGAGACTTCTTGCTTAAGGAGAAACATGTTGTTCTCACTGTCTTAAAACTTAATCCCCCTGGTGCTTCCTCTATTATAGCTCTGTAATGTAGCCTTTCATCTTCTCCTGCTTCATCAATACAAACTGATATATAGGCTATTCAGTGAAATGTCTGTAACCAGCAACAACCTCCACCTGAAAACAAATTCATTCATTCCTAATGCAACCTCAACTGTTATTCGGTAAACAGCACGAATTTAATCAGCACAACTAGAATCACCACCTGGTGGTTGTACGCCTCTGCCAACCAGTCAAGCTGCAAGAAATATGGTCTCAATCTCTCCTTTCTGAGTTACAGCATTGAATAATGGCCGCAAGTGTTTTAAGCAGAAAATTATGATGTCACAGTGAAATTGACCTTTGACCTTTTGGATACAAAATGTCATCACTTCATCATTTTATCCTATTAGACCTTGTGTTAAACTGTGTCATAATGAGCGTATGAATTTATGAAAAAAATATGAGTGTATTAATGTGAGTTATGGCCAAAAAACATGTTTTGGGAGGTCACAGTGACCTTGACCTTTGACCTTTAACCACCAAAGTCTAATCAGTTCATCCTTGAGTCCAAGTGAATGTTTGTGCCAAATCTGAAGAAATTCCTTGTTTTGTGAGGTCACTGTGATTTTGACCTTTGACCTTGACCTTCCTTAAGCCCAAATGAGACATTTATGCCAAATTCGAAGAGATTCCCCTGAGGAGTTCCCAAGATGTTGCGTCGACAAGGCCGAGGCGTTACTGAGATGTGGCCTTCACGAGAATGGACGGACGGACGGACGAACAAGCCGAAAAACACTGTAACAACTTAGTAATCATCATTTCCAGTTAAGCTAGCGTTACTGACACTGAACACTTCCTGCGAAAATGTTGCAGCTCAATAGACGTAATCCCTCCACTTCCTGACGGGCTTTCAAAGTGAGAAATTTACACTAAGTGTTAAGTGTCATTCACAGCTGCTTAACAGCGATCCAAAAAAAAAAAAACTACACTTTGGGAGCGATCGTAAATAACAAGCGACTGAAATCAGTATCTCTGTTAAAAAGAGAAAGTCAGAGCAGCAGAGTGATGAGAGTGATCTCACATCTGACTGTTCACACTTCACCTGTCAGGGGACTCGGGATCGAAGCAGGTCTTGAGGACGTCAGTGATCTCCGGGTCACAGCAGTCTCCGTCATCGTAGTCGTAGTGTATGCTGTTGCACTCCATGTTACAAACCCCATCCTGTCTCTTCCAGTTGTAGCAGGGCCCCAGTCGGAGGCAGTCCCCCCCGTCGTGGCCCGTTCTTGGATGGTCGCACTCGGGGTCACATTGGCGATTCCCGATCTTTCCAATTCGGCAGTTGCTGAGGATAAACCTCTGTTGGAGGCTGGAGTTTCTGACAGTGTGCACGCTCAGATCCAGGGTGATGTTGTAGGGGCGAAAGGCCTCAGTCAGAGCCTGGTGCTGGAGTTCAATCTGGGCTTGCGACACGGTGGGGTTTCCGCCATCGTCTTTGGAGAGGTTGACGATCCGGTAGCGAACTCGCTTGGGGGCACGGAGCTGCCAGTTGTTGTTGTAGCCTAAGATGATGTCGGTGTTGTCGCAGGGTGTCAGGCCGCAGGGTGGCGGCAGGAATGAGGAGACAAGTTCTTCTTCAGGGACAGGAGTGGTGATGATGGTCGGATGGAGGCCAACTTTATGCGGCATCCACTGTTGTTCCACCTACAAGCAGAGTCCATCAATATTTCAGTTAACTTTAATACTATTTCCAATCGCTTTCAATACAGAACAATTAAATAACTAGCAAGAAGAGCTTATTTAAAGATTGTATAATAGACAGGGTAGAAACTAGACAGTTACATTAGTGAAGTCAGCCCACATCGCCAGGACCGGCTCACTCTTGTCGATTTGAAGTGGTCGCTTCAGCAGGTCCTCATGAGAGCGGGCGTAGCCCCATAAAACCACACCCCCTACATGGCCCCTGAAACTGGGTCCCTGATCTGATTGGTTACTGCCGAGGAAGAGGGTCCTGCAGGTCCTCATGTAGGGGCTGTACAGATTCCCTGACTGGAGATTGCTTTCTCCCACCTGAGAGGAAAAGCAAGAGAGGAAACGGCACGTGAGGAGACGAAGGGGCAGAAAACAAATATCTCTTCATTTCATTATGTTGTGAAAATAATTAACGACTAATGGTCTGATAAAGACAATTTCCTAATTTCATGAGACTTTTTAAAAAGAACATCTTAGCGTTAAGCTACAGCTGTCAGTGTGGCCATTTGAAGTCATGGCTGTCAACACTGCAATAGCCTTCACATCATCAGTAGTTCTGTGCTCCATCAAAACACATGAAAACCAGCTGCTTCTGATGACGCATTAATGATGGATTGTTCATAGGTGCTTAAGTTCAAACACCAGATCTGTTCCTCCAAAACTGCATATTGATAAGCCAATGAGAAACTACCGTTGGCTCTCACTGTTCTACAACCCTTAACTGTGAACAGGCATTAATAAAATTTGATACTGAAGCAAGGAGCAGTATCATTAAGGTATTAAAGGTCATTCTTGACCTTTAGTAGTTTGACACAGCTGGTTTTTGCTTTATTACATTTACAGTCTATAGTAAATGGAGTTTGCTCAATTGTCATGATGAAAGAATCTCTGTAACTATAATGATTTAAAGGTCCTGTATTGTATAAATTGAGATTTCCATGTGTAGTGTGATTATAGATCAGCTCTAGCTTCTATATTAATACTGTGAAAGTATCAAAGCCTCAGTCCACAGAGAAATGCACACAGCCTGTATTCAGAAACTGAGCCTTAAAACCAGCCGTCAGGACTTCTGTAACTTTGTGATGTCACAACAAAGCAGTCACCGCTCTCAGCCATGCTCAGCCAATCAGAAGAGTGGCTCAGAGCTTCCTCTCTTCTGATTGGCTCACTGACCTGTTGTTACCAGAGCTCCAGAGAGAAGCCTGAGAGAGGAGATGTGAAACTACACTGAGATGGATTTTTTTCTCATGGAAATCAACACTTCAGAATGAAAGTGTAAAATATGGGAAAATAAAGAAAAATACAAAAAGAAAAAAAGAAAAAAAAAGAATATATTATTTATGTTCTTTAAAGTTCAGTGTGGGAGCCTCTACTGTGTTGGGCTGTCATTTACAGTTGGCGAATCTCTCCTCTCCTCTGCTGATGCTGTTGGCATTGAAGCTAGTTCTGAGAGCGCTAGCAGCATCCCTGCCCTTGGAAATAGATGAAGACCTTGCGTACTATCAGTGTATTTACAGAGATCAAGAAGCTAAAAGTGAAGCAGAGGCAAATGAACATCCCCAACCGAGGTTCAACCATGCACCAAAACCACACACCTTAGCTCCATCAACATACAGGGTCATGTTGTGGCCGTTGTAAGTGGCCATCAGGTGAGTCCAGGCACCGGCGCGGTATCGGTGGTGGCTATAGACAGTGGTAGATTTTACGGCTCGGTCCGTCCGAAGCGTGAAGTAGAACCTTGCGTCTTTGGTACCGTCTGGTTCCACGGTGCGAATACCTACAGACCAGCCCTTCTCACTCAGTGAATGGGAACAGTTGTCAAATACACCTATGGCATGGGGGGTGGGGGGGTGGGGGGAATGGGGAAAAGTCAAATAAATTATTTAGAAGGAAAACTTGTGGAAAAACATGCAACTTTTCTATTGCTGAGTCAAAGGACGGCACATGTACAAATGGGCTTCACCCTTAGGAAAATGAATAAATAAACACACTAACAAGCAATCTGTCCAAGTGATTGCAGTTCTGTGGACATAGGAGGACTGAGAGAGAGAGACAGAGAGAGAGAGAGAGAGAGAGAGGGAGAGAGGAGCAGATAGAGAGTGTAAGACAGACACAGAGAATAGACAGAGCCAGAAACAGCAGGAGAGAACAGAGAGGGGAAGAAGGACGGAGGTATTTCACTCAGCCAAGGCAAGGCCGTGATGTTTCCATCTGCTGTTGCAACAGACACACACACAGATCCACATCTGCAGCCCAGATGTCTAACACTGGGACAGCGAGGGGTCAGGGAAACCCTTCACCCTCCTCAACGCAGTATGTGTGTGCATGTGTATATGTTTACTCGCGTATATGTGCATGTGTGTGTAAAGTGGGCACCTGCAGCAAAATATCCCCAAGGATATTTTTAGGATGCGAGCCAGTTTTATGGTTAAGCATTTAATTCAGTTAAAGAAAGTGGCAGTAAAAAACAAAGGCTATAAAACAGTATAAGCAGTATAATCAAGTGAAATAAATTATACTGTATATATTGCCCATTGTACTACCACATGTGATTGGTCATGGTGACAGGAAACAACAAGGTTTATGGGAAATGTGGTCTTCTTGTTGTGAGACATTTGCACTAACCCACATATGATTAATGCAATCAGTCATCTCCACCATGGCATGATTTGTTCGCCCATAATTATAATATTGAGTCCAATTACATACTGATGTTTTAAAGCTGCATTTACGGCCACTTCAGGGGAAACACAACTAGCCAAAAAACACAACGCTGACATAAGAGAGTGACGTATTTTTGGAGGACAACCCCGGAAGTTAGTGTCACCCTGGTTCCCTCAACACATAGCCAACGGGAAATAAGCAAAAGTTTACGATAGGTGAACAAATGAACACATGAAGTTGGAGGAAATATAATCACAATCTCTCTTCCTGAGTTAACGGCTTGAATAACGGCCAGAGGTGTTTTTGCAGCACATTATGACATCACAGTGGACCTTTGTGCACTTGGATACAAAAATGTCATCACTTCACTGTTTTATCCTATTAGATATTGGTGTTAAATTGTGTCATAATTTGCGTATGAATTCATGAGTCATGGACAAAAACATCTTCGTGAGGTCAAATTCTTATCACTTCATCTTTGAGTCCAATAAGTGAATTGTTTGTGCCAGATGTAATTAAAGTCCCTCCGGGCGCTCCTGATATATCGCATTCACAAGAACGTGAGGTCACAGTGACCTGACCTTTCACCTTTGTCCACCAAAATCTAATCAGTTCATCGCTGAGTCCAAGTGAATGTTTGTGCCAGATCTGAAGAAATTCCCTCAAGGCGGAGAAACTTTTTTAACCTCTTGCCTAAATCTGAAAATCAATTCCAGTGTTCAGACCCACGTCATTTACTCTCCTGGCATGTGTGGCCCCGTCCACACTGGAGCGCCTCTTCAAACCTGTTTTCAACTTTTTTATTTATTTATTTTTTTCCAACATTTTATTGCTGACAAATATTTGAACCGTCTATATTTTTGCACTCTGGATGAATTTTGCCAGAGTCACACCAATATACTGGTTCATTATTTTCAGCATATACTAACAAATAACACATTAGTATTGCCGTGAATGTAGGCCAAATGCAGTAAAGTAATCAAAATGCATAATAAATCCCATAATAATGCAGCACTTAAGGAAATGTAGGAATAGTGTCATCACTACATTGTTTGTCCAGCAGCCACTTTCTGTACTCTGCTGTTTAATTCTGCAGCACATGGTCAAAGGTACAAACACACAGATCTATAGGATCATCACTGACCATTAGGAGTCAAACTAACGTCAATGTCATGTTTAAGCAGAAACAATGGGGGAGTTTGTTTTTCACTGTATTTTGTCGGATTCCTTCAGGACACTACAAAGAGAAGGGGCCTGGGCCACAAAGTGCCGCCCTCACATAAGGAAGCAATGAGGGGGGAAAAAAAAAAAAGTAATGTAAGTAAGTAATGGAGTCGGATCTTTGATCAGAGTAAATGTGAGCAGACGTAACAGTTTGTGGTCTCCCTCACTATCTGGGCAGCTGCGGTGCTACACCATAGCGTTTTTTTTTTTGTTTTGTTTTGTTTTTTTTTTTATCCTCTTCATTTTGTTTGACGTCCTCTACGTGTTGTTCTGTCAAATGTGCAGCTTTTCAAATACAACAAAGAAAAAAAAAAAGCAGCTGATGTTGATCATGTGAAGAGCCGGGCTTAATGAAGGTTTCATGAGATCAATGCGTCTGCATGCCTCTGCTCAAAATCAATGGAAACCCACAGACTAAGCTAAGTATGAGGAGAGAGACTGAATGAAACACACCCTGGGAATTTTCACGGTTATGTAACCACCAAATTTAGGCAGAGTCTGTGCCCTTGTTGTGACAAAAAAAAAAAAAAAAAATGGCGTTAAGTGTTATTGTCATCTGAAAACTCAATATAGATTATTGTGGAAGTTATCAGCTCAGTCTAAACACTCGTGAGGCTGCAGTTACCTCTATTTATCACCTGGCGAGGGTCTTTAAAGGAGTAGTGTTTTGTTTAACCATCGTCATTACCATTAATAATACTGACATAATAATAAACATCTTCATCATAATCAGCCTGTAATTTTTACTGTAGCTAATGTGGCGTCTATCGTCTTCCTTTTATAGGAAGTATACGCCATCGTCCCCAGGTGTCGTCCACTGTATCAGCAGTGACCCAATATCATCCAACATATTGACCTGGCTGATTTATCAGTCCGGCTCTACTCTGAAGCCACGTCTTGCACTCGACCTGCATGAACACTATGTTGTCAGTGGTAGTTGATGATTGTCTGACTATCAGTAACTTTAGGGACATCCTCAAATTTCTTGTTTTCCCCCTGCAGTCTAACACCTGCACATACTGAGTTTAGAGTCAATCAATCATATAAAACTGAGCATGGTAGAAAGTTCTAACATTTAAGAATCTGAAAAGAAGAAAACATTAGATAATTTTGCTTAATAAAGTCGACTAAACAGTTAATTATCTCATCATAATCTTTCATTGTGATCTGTGTCATGACTGTCACCATGTCTGCAACAGAGTAAACCCTGGATACATCCTGTCTGACCTTTTTGCCGTGGAAACCAGCCTCCTGGGACCGCTATCTTTAACAAGAGAGTGTCACACAGCACAGGAGACTGCTGTTAAAGGGTAAACCCAAATGTCCTTAGGTTGGTAGATGACACACACATACAGCAGAGCAAAGAACACGGGATAGTGAGCAGGCAGACAGAGTTAAAGTAAAGAAGTTGGAGACTCACTGGCCACAGAGCGAGAGTCTAACTAGGGCTGTGTATAGGCAGATACAGTATGTCAACCAACAGGAGGATCATATGAATAATCCTGAAACAGATGATTGGAAAAGCAGGATGAGCAGGCGGAGGACCAAGCAAAGAGTTTGTGACTAGTAAGAGACTTCAGATCCACAGATTAGGTCAGTAAGACTGGAGAAAAAAGATGTATTCCCCTACTACTGCCATGCTGTCACTTAGCAAGGAGTCAACACTCAGTATGGCCCTAAGGCTGTGGTGACTGCTCCCTGGGGGGGGGGGGGCACTTTCAGGGAGATGGCATTGATGCAGACATGATCAGTTAACACCCACCTGCTATGACTGCTGGGTTGCTCTGCCCTCCTTCGGGCTTCACCCACAGCTCCAGGCTGAACTTGTCTCTCGGCAGCTCCACCCTTGCAGCCGGTTTCATCTTCAGCTGCTCCCGACGCCCGCTGAAGTACAGGGCGGTCATCCATGAGGGGGGCACCCGAGGCGGTGGGCTCCCCCACGGAGAAGAGCTGCCGACGGGCAGGCTCGCCGGCGGATCCGCCTCTTCCACCTCCCCAGAGAAGTCCACGGCACCGTCCTCCACAGTCCCGGTCGAGGGCTGCCGGTGTCCATCTCCCTGGTGCAGTCCGTAGAGAACCCGGAGCCCCCTGGAATCTGTCGAGCTGTCGGGGAAAACTTTCTCCCGGTTGGACTTGCCGTCTTCCTCGTATGGTAACGTTACGTCGACGCTACGAGCAAGTCTGGAGCGGGCGCCGCTTGGCGACTGCGTGTGGCCCGAGGAGGAGGCGCTCTGCCCGGCGTCTTTAAGCGGAGACGTCCCGGGCAGCTGTGTGGCGTCTGCACTCACACCCTTTCGCTCTCTCCTGTCGTTTGCGGAGCGTTTCTCATACAGCCGCCCGGGCAACGTAACATATCCGTCCTCCGCTCCCACCGTCACATCCTCTGTGTCGCCCCAGCCTCCCTTCTCCTCAACCCGGTGCACCCCGGTGTCACCCCTACACCCTCCTGCACAAACCACAGGAGCGCTCTTAACAGTGTACAGCTCTCTGAGGCTCGTGTGCGTCCTCGGACGGGCCGCTGGAGGGCGGTGTTGGGACGGTGAGAGAGAGCGGGGCTGCCGTCGGGACCTCCACACGCCGGAGACGGTGCAGGGTTCACCTGCTAGCCTGGAGAGCTCACGGTCTGCCCGCCGGGCCATGGCGCGTTTGTACCGGCTAAGTGCATCGGAGCGAACCGGGTTGAGCAGCCACGTGTTAGTAATGAGGACGAGGAAGATAGCCAGTAGTCTGATCAACAACATTTTCTCAGGTTAGGGAAGGTAGCCTTCTTTACAGGGGTGTTTTGTTGTTGTTGTTGTTGTTGTTGTTGTTGTTGTTGTTGTTGTTGTTGTTGTTGTTGTTGTTGTTGTTGTTGTTGAGAATGAAGGGGGGAGGTTTGAGCTATTAAAAGTCAGCACCTGGTTTCTAAGTCAGCAGCAATAGGTCTCACACCAGACTGTGATTATTAGATTAATTTGCGCACATTTCCCCAGCAATAAAGAAAATTAACATATTTAAGTAAACAAATTAGGAGAGTAATCAAATATAAAGTATCAGTGCATTCCAAAGGGATCAAACTAATAAAGAGAACGTCACATTCAATGTTTTTCACGTGGACTTATTGCGCGTTGAGGTTCTTGGTCTATATTTGGTTTGATTTTTTTTTTTTTTGAATGAACACTCCTGAAGAATCTCAGGAAACATTCAGACCTTCAGCTAAGTTAACCTAAATCCTTTGCTGGCGCAGCTGCAGTGGCTCTCCACTCTCTTGCACTTTGCGCGGACCTTTAGAAGCGAAGCTTTGCGTCTTTTCCATTCATGTCTACTGTCTGCGAAATATCTGCAGCCTCTGGCACTTTGTTTCTGGTACAGGTAGAAGAAGAAAAAAAAACTACTGTCTGTCTTTCAGTAGGCTGAGCCCATGAGGTAAAGAAAGAAATTTAAAAACGTCACCAGGCTGATTTTAATTTTTTTTTTTTTAAATCATAAGAAACAGACTTATTTTAGAAACTGAGGAAAAATTTGGACGCAGTTTCCTTTGTTTTGAATTTGCATGAATAAATCAGATTTCACTCCATACTGACTTTGCACCAGGCCTCTTATGTCTTTTTACCTGACCATTGCGGCATCATTTATGCGTCTTGTTCCAAAATATGGCTGCAAGGTGAATCAGAGTAATAAAAAAAAAGTCAACTCCAGAGGCAAAATGAAGTGCAGTGCAAAGTGCCAGCTCTGAAACAGTTGCCCTACTTGTTGAGCAGAAGCTTTCAGATAAATCTTTGAGAAAGAATTGAAAAAATTTTAGTCCATTAAATCATGGTTCGGCATCTGCGCGTCAGCTCCTCCTGGTATTGTTGTGCGTCTGTGAGCGCTTCAGAGAGTGACTTGCTGCTCCTCTGCACCGGTCCATGCAGTAGTTGTAATATCCTCCTCCATTCACAATTCCATCTCTCTCTCTCTCTCTCTCTCTCTCTCACTCACTCTCTCTCTCTCTCTCTCTCTCTCTGTCGCTTCTCCCGAGTCCAAAGGTTTTTTTGGGGTTTTTTTTTTTTTTTTTATCAGGGAGCCCCTGCCCGCCCTGACATCACCGGTAGGGGAAGTGTGGTGGTGGTGGAGGTCCGGGTGGGGGGAGTGGTGGGGAGGGAGGGGGCGGGAGGCACAGTTTATTTACGTATTTATTTTTCTTCTCCTTACCTCATTCGACCATCCTCTCATCTTGGTGGGTATTCAGATCCTTTACTTAAGTTAAAGTAAGTGCACAAGCCCCCGTGCCAAGGAAAAGTCTGGCATTCAAAATGTTATCATCAGCAGAATGAGGTGGTGGGATCCACAAGGTACACAGTCTACTGTATGTCAATATAAATCTGAGGTACTTGTACTTCCAGTGAGTATTTCCTCTGCAGAAATGATGCACTTTTTAACTCCATAACATTTACTGACAGGCTCCAGTTACCAGTTACATTACCGATGAGTTACTCTACAGATTGATCAAAAACAAATCATCCAGTGAGCCTGTGGAATATGATGCAACCTTATAGGTCAAATTATAAAACAAAATGACCCGTTTCACAGTAAATGAAATAGTTAAAATGAACTCCACCTCACCTACAACTGTGCAGCACAACATACACATGAATTAGTAATAAGAACTCAATAACATACATTCACAGGGGGCCATTTTTTGTGAACCACCATTGGCAAAATGTTGTACAGCAAAACTGCACATATAATATTGTAAATATATTGTAATGCACTTTATTGCTGATACTTTTATATGCAACATTTCACAGTGTTGATGCAGTTATGTTGTATATGCATTGGCTTATTTTAGGAGCTCATCATTGGTTTTGTGTGTAAAACCTTCATTTGCAAAGGAACCTGTCCTCAGATTGGGTATAAAAATATTTTATATTTATAAAATATTAAATATTTTCTTATTTGATAGGATGGAGTAGAAGTATGAAGTAACATATACTATTATTATTAATTACACATAAGTACAGTATAGTAAATAAACTAGTAGCCTGTTTGATCTCTACCTTGCTTCCCCTCCCCCCTCCCCTCTCTCTCTCTCTCTCTCTCTCTCTCACACACACACACACACACACACACACACACACAGTCCAAAGTGAAGGAGGTGAGGTTTGAGTAACCCTCTCCCTCCCTCTCCCCTTTCTTCCTTTTCTTTTCCTCTTACTCCCTCCCTCCCTCTCTCCCTCCCTCTTGTCTTGATCTACCTATCTCGCTCTCGCTCAGGCTCTGGCTCTCTTCAGTGGTACAGCACGGACAGGCACAACATCTGTCTCGCACATGAAAAGGGTTTTTGCGAGCTTTTTATCATCCAAATATGCTACCTGCTTTGTTCCGAAACTCTTGTGTTTGTGTGGGCCGAGTCAGGGCTGAAAAAACAGGGAGAGGAAGTATCAGGTGAGAGGGAGGAATAAAAGCAGGGGGGGGGGCGTAAGGAGAAATGTATGATGGGATATTATATAATAACTGTGCAACTGAAGGTGAAAATGCCATGAAATCATATTTGTAATTGTTGTATTTTGTTGATGTTGTTACATAAACAAATACAAAAATTCTCTGATAGGCAAATAATACAAAACAATATGTTATATACATCTGCATGCACATATACATACACACATGCAGAAATACACACATACTAACCATAAAAATAAGATCATTTATACAGAGTATGGATACCATATTTAAATTAAAGAGTAGTTCTCTTTAAGATAATCCAGGAATTTTATACTTTTGACACAAAAAAAAAAATCTCAACTTCTTTTGTCAGTAATTGTGCGGCTGTCAGCGTACATCTTTGGAAAATGTTACATCCACATCTCAGACAACAACATGTTTAGTCCCTCATTGTCACGCAGCAGCGATCTCTATTGAACGGAGGAGAAATACCTTCTAGATTTCTCATTACATTCCTGCATAGCCAGCAGAAGAGGTGACTCTGCAGAGCACAATGTAACTGAATCTACCGTATTGCACTCACTGCACTCATTACCCACTTTTTGTGTGTGTGTGTGTGTGTGTGTGTGTGTGTTTGTGTGTGTGTGTGTGGTAAATAATTAAACAAATAAAAAATATGCATCATGGAATTTTTCAACCAGACCCAAACTGTGTGTCTTTTTGCAGCTTATCATGTATGGATCTAATGTTGTGACTCTTGAAAAGTTACCTTGCAAATGGAAAAATAGCTCTTGGCAACTTGTGCAGGCCTTCCTAACTCAAAAGACAGGTGTACTTGCTGAGATGTTTCCAGACACTGCAAACAAAATCTATACTGATCTTGAAAATACTATAAAACTTTACAGCTACAATATACTGTCACCTGTTTGAAGACTTCTGTGTTTTACCACGTGTGGATTTTAAAGCTTCCATCGTTTTGTAGGATTTGGATTTGAGCAGTTGGGTTCGTGCTTGTGACTCATTATTCCCTCTATAAGTGGTTTCTCAAAAAAAATAACAACAACAAAAAAAAACAGCAGCTACCATAAGCAGTTGTTGCTCTTCCACACCTTCTTAAATGTTGCCCCCCCCCCCCTCCCCTTCCCCCAGACACCACTATTTTTTTGTCAGGCTCAATTTGCAAACAGGGCCCTGGCTCGAGGCTGGAGATGGAGATGGAGGAGGAGGCCGCTGGCAGTTATGGCAGGGGCCCCCGAAGGGGCAAAAAACTGTTCCTAAAGAGTGGGAGGCAGGAATTCCACAATCCCAGCCTGCCTGACTGAGGGATCTGCCTGCTAAACATTCAGCTTTTTTGCTGGCGAAGTGCCCTTTGAAATCCAGCTGCAACTGTGTTGGGAAAAAAAAAAGCAACAAGAAATAGGAGGGGTGGGTTTTAAGAAAAAAAAAAAAGGAGGGAGAGGGAGGATGAAGGAGAAGAGACAGAAGAGAAAGAGAGGAAGAGAGCGATAGAGGGGTGGGCAGTGTGTGGTGGAGAGTGTGTGTGTGTGTGAAAGAGAGAGAGAGAGTCTGAATGGGCATGCTCCACCGGGGCCTCACCCCCCACTGTAAGGGACCTCCACAGATTATCCTTCATCTGAGCTTGTCGGTCTTGACCCCACCGACCCTGAGGCCCACTCTCTGTCTTCTCTCTCTCTTTCACACACACTTTTCCTCACTGTCTCGCTCACTCACTCACTCATTCGTTTCTCCAAACACCCTCATTATTTTCTCTGTGTCACTCACTCTTTCTCTTCTACCTCTCTGCCGCTCACTAACCTCCAATGCAACAACACTGCTGACCCTCCAGCTCCACCACCACACGCATTCCCCGCTCACACACACACACACACACACACACACACACATACACACACACAACCTGGTTCCTCATGCAGAAAAGGGGGACCCAATAGGAGAAAATCCAGGCTGATGTGCAGGACAAATGAGGAGGGGAAGAAAGAAGAAAAGGGGAGAAAGAAAGAAGGCAAGCTTTTCACTACCAATGGTATAAAATAGAAAGGGGTGGAGGGAGAGGGGCGGGGGGGGGACAAATGCAATACAGTGTATATACAGTACCGCAGGTGTTTTGCTCCAGGAGTTTCATTTAGAGTCGGTTGTTGCATGTGCACAGTTTTTAAGATCCCTGAATTATGAGCTAAAACTGATATTTGTGTCTGATGTTAAATGCAAGTTACACCCTTTATCTGTTTTAAATATCTTTGTATCTCTGTATGGTTTCTTCATAACGGAAACTAGATATGACTAGATAATTCCTAGCTTTAAAAGATTTTCTATA